CTGAGGCGACTGTTAGGGAGTTTATCTGTGACAAGATGAGGGTAGCGAAGGATGCGGTTGATAAAATGGTGCTAGAAAGGGTGCACAGAATGGGGTCCAAACAAGATGGTAAGTGCAGAACAATTGTGGCTAAATTCCTTGAATACAAGGACAAGGAATTTGTGAGAAAACAATGGAAGACTTTGGAAGGCAGTACTTACTACGTCAGTGAACAGTTTCCGAGAGAGGTGGTTGAAAAGAGAAAAAAGCTCGTTCCTAGGATGAAAGCTGCGAGGAAAGAAGACAAGAGAGCTTGGATCGCGTATGACACTTTGTATATAGATGGGAAAGCAGTTAAAGACTAGGGGGTTGCGGAGGGGGAAGTAAAGGTATTGTCATGGAACGTAAATGGACTTTCGAGGGCCAAAATGGAATGCAGTGAGTTTATAAGTATCATAGCTGAAAATGACATTATATTTTTATTTGAGTCATGGACGTGTTCTTATAGTAAAATTGAGTTGGCTGGTTATTCATGTCACAATTTTAACAGAAAATTTCAACATAGACAGGCAAGGAGAAATAGTGGTGGTGTTGTGCTATACTATAAGGACTCGGTTAAAGATGGCATTGAAATTTTGAAAAATAGGCATGATTCTATGATTTGGTTAAAACTTGACCATACGTTTTTTAAAACGAATAATGACATGTACATTTGTGGAATCTATTTATGGCCTGAAGGTTCGCCAGCATATAATGTTGTAAATATAGATTTTTTTGAATTTTTGGAGACTGATATAAGTTATTATAGTGAGTTTGGCGATGTATATGTGTGCGGCGATTTAAATAGTAGAGTTGGTTTAAAGCCGGATTTAATTAGACATGATAATGTTAATGAATTATTTGATGATCAAGATTATATTCCAGATGTTTATAGTGACAGGGCCTCTTTTGATACAAAGTGTAATAGTTTTGGGTTAAGACTTATCGATGTTTGCAAATCCTCCTGCGTGAGAATTGTTAACGGTAGAATTGGCAATGATCAAGGTTTATTTACATATGTGTCCCGTAACGGTGCGTCGGTGGTTGATTATCTATTATGTAAAGAATGCAACTTTTCTAATATCACGTGTTTTACCGTTAAATCTATGAATGAATCGAGTGAACATTCATCAATTATTTGTTCACTCAGTTGTAATAATGTTATCGACTATGATGATGGTCACAGGTACATTAGGACTCATTTAGAGCCAGTCTTATCGGCCTGTTGTCACTATTAAACAAATAAGTACATGGAATTGAACCAACGAAAAACTGTATAAATGATGATGTATCAGGGTTTACGAATATTGTTAAAGATGCTGCTGACAATTTGTTTTTGAAAACTTATAAAGAATCACAAACGACATGTTTTTTTTATAGATTCGCCTTCTGTTAGTAACGCTGAGTGGTTTGATGGAGAATGTGTTAGCGCTAGAAACAGTTATCTAGAAGCTTTAAGGGTTTTTAACAATTGTAAATCAAATATTAGTAGAATTCATTATTGTGATTGTAAACAAAAGTATAAGAAGTTAATACAAAAAAAGAAAACTCAGTATAAGATTAGAAAATTAAAAGAAATTGAAAAGCTTAGACTTTGTAAACCAAAAGCTTTTTGGAAGTATTTTAAAAAGAAGAACTTTAAGTCAGCAAATTCAATTACGCAAGATGATTTTTTTCATTTTTTTTCAAAACTTGAAGATGACATTTTTTCATGTCAAAATGAAGAAGCTGAACAGTTTAGTGGTACTCATGATTTTGACAGTTGCTCTGTTAATGTCGAATTTGACCGCCCCATATGTTCTGACGAAATTATGAAAGCTGTTAGAAAATTAAAAACAAATAAAGCATATGGAAATGATTGTCTTTTAAATGAATATTTTATAGAAACTATTGATATTTTGATGCCGTACATATGTGATATTTTTAACGTTATTTTAGAGTCTGGAGTATTTCCAGAAAAATGGAAAGAAGGAATTATTATACCCATTTACAAGAAAGGTGATAAAAATGACGTCAACAATTATAGAGGTGTCACACTGTTAAGTTGTTTATCAAAGTTATTTACATCAGTATTGAATAATAGAATCGTTTCTTTTTGTGAAATAAATCAGGGAATAACAGATGCACAATTTGGTTTTAAAAAAGGTAGTTCAACTATAGATGCAATATTTTCTTTATACACTTTAATTGAGCATTATCTTAATCATAATAAAAGGTTGTACGTAGGTTTTATCGACTTAAAGAAATGTTTTGATTCTATATATAGAAACGCACTATGGCTTAAGCTTTTTAAATCCGGAGTCCAAGGTAAAGTTCTTAGAATAATTAAAGATATGTATGATGTTGTAAAGTCATGTGTTAAACACTGCAATTCTTTTTCTGAGTTTTTTGAATACTCTATTGGATTAAGACAAGGGGAGATAATGTCACCAGTTTTAGTATCATTATTCCTCGACGATATAGAATTATTTTTACAGGATAGTATAAACAGCGGTTTGTTAATAGATGACATAGTTATTATTTATTGTTATTTGCTGATGATATGGCTATTTTTGGAAAAACACCTGAAGAATTGCAGCACAATCTTGATTTACTATATAGCTATTGTACTAAATGGAGCATTGAAGTTAATGTGTCAAAAACAAAAATTATGGTATTTAGAAAAAGAGGAAGATTAAAAAGAGATGAAAAATGGACATATAATGGCGCAGACATTGAAGTTGTAGACAGTTTTAATTATTTAGGAACGTTATTTTCATACAATGGTAATTTTGACCTTAATAATGAATATTTATCTGGCAAAGCATTAAAAGCTTTAAATGTGTTATTATATAATTGTAAAAAATTACCGCTACGATTAAAAGTACTCTGTCAATTGTTTGACTCTTTTGTAGGTTCGATATTATTGTATGGCAGTGAAGTATGTGGTTTTAGCAAGTCTAAGGAAATCGAACGGTTACATTTAAAGTTTTGTAAACGTATACTTAAAGTACCTATTAATTCGAGCAATAATGCTGTATATGGTGAGCTTGAGCGATATCCTTTGTATATTTTACGTTATTGTAAGATTATTAGATTTTGGTGTAAAATTGTTAATTCTGAAAATATTATTGTTAATAAATTGTATAATTTAGCGGTGCAAGATAGTTTAGAAGGTCATACGAATTGGATAAGTCGAGTAAAAAAGATTCTAGACGATTATGGATTTTCTAATATTTTTGTAAATAGTTATGATAGTTTATCTTTAAAACATTTCCAAGTTGTATTTAAAACTAGAATGATTGATTGTTTTAAACAAGAATGGTTTGGAGCAGTTAGCAGAAATGGTATCCTTGATGAATACACACATTTTAAAAGATCCTTTACATATGAAAACTATTTAGACATAGTACCCTTTAATTTAAGATTTTTCATTACCAGGTTACGTATTTCTGCTCACTCTCTTCGCATTCATACCGGAAGATTCGGGGAAAATAGAATACCTAGACATGAACGAATTTGTTTAAACTGTAACTTACATGACATAGAAGATATTTACCACTTTGTATGTATATGTCCTTGCTATCGAAATCTTAGAGTAAAGTATGTCAATGATAATATATATAAAGACCATCTGTATTCAAATTTTATGAATTGTTAAACAGCAATGACAAAAAAGAACTATGTAATTTAGCAATGTACCTAAAAGAAGCTTTTAAACATAGAAATAATATAAATATGGTAGTACAATAATGTCACATGCAAATTGTATTTTATGGAGACCGTTTCACCATGTTTATTAACTATGATAAGTTGTATTGTAATATACTTTCACTCTCCTGTTATTTGTAGATCAGTTTATATGAAAACAAAAATTAAAATTGTATTGATTTGTAACGCTTTAATCATGTGCAGAATATTTAGTTGTTAAATATATATGTGTTGAAGATGATGTACTATGTACAAGTCTGAATAAAGATATGTTCTGTTCTGTTCTGTTCTGTTCATATAAACGGTAGCCAGGTATAGCTTGTCTTTGTAGCAACTGTGCAGCCTCGTTAAATTAAGACTTTATTATAGTTATTGTTATTATAAATATTATTATTATTATTATAATATATATAATTTGGTGAGGACTTACAGTATTTTTTAATGCGTAATGTTGTTTCCCCCTTGTATACTTTAATCTATTCTAGTATGTATGTTTCTCATTTATTTATCAATTAAAACCAGACCCTTAAAGGCCCATTATGCCTCAGATACTTTAAAAATGCTTTTATTTCTGAAAAGTTACTCGTTGGCCTCTTATTTGAACCATTTTTTCATTTGTTGTTTTTTGGCAATAAGTACAGTTAGAGTGATTTAATATTTTGTATGGAAGTCAAAAGACTACTTATTTACATTTTGCTACTTTTATGACAAATTATTTCACATTTATCTCCAATTTCTTACAAGCATGTTACATTGTCTTAAACAATTATTTAAATGTTATAATATTCATATTTGCCCATATTTTTTTTTCGTTTCATTTTTTTCGCTTTGAGCCATTAAAGCAACGCTATTAGATCTGATTTTCAGTCGGATATTGCTATTTAGACATTGTCCTATGAGAACGCTTAAATTGAAAATATCTGTTTATTTCGCGTATTAAACTGTCCCCAGCACCACTTTCATTTTCTATTGACTAAACCAAGCGCGCATCATCGATTTATTCAGTAAGATGCGGTTCCGTGCTTTTGAATGTTTAATATTTGAGCCGCGTCACGACAAAACCCAACATAATGCGTTTTCGATCAGCATGGATCCAGATCAGCCTGCACATCCGCGCAGTCTGATCAGGATCAATGCTGTTCGCAATCAGTTTCTCTACTTGTAATAGGGTTTGTAAGCGAACAGCATGGATCCTGATCAGAGCGCGCAAACGCACTAGTTGGTTTTGACGTGACGCGGCTCATTTATTTTGAATTAGGAATAAACCTAAAAGCGTTCTACGTTTTATATAGAGTTTACTCTGGGAGAGCACGATATTAGAGTTTTGGCAGATGACGATGATATTGGACCATATTCGTTACATATTCGAGACAAAGAAGCCGTCAGAAAAGAGTTACTGACTGATTTAAAGAAGAAAGATCCGAAGAGATTTATCGCTGAGCTTCTGAATATTAACAAAGCTGATTTTGATTGTGATTTGATGGATACGATCAGTGGATCAAGTGGTGTGTCTTTTGTTGAGATCCTGCTTAAATATGGGGAAGAAAATGGTATAGATAACCTTATTTTTTTTACAATTACTATTCTTATTGATTTTATAACTAATATTTTCTTACTGCATTGGAATTAAAGTTAATATTAAGGCAATATGATTTTAATAAGCTTTTGGAATTAATTAATAGGAAAGAGTGCAGATTGTAGATTCATTGGATCTAGAATTGATATTTTTATTTTCGGAGTCACTTTTCATGGACATGTATATAAGCGCCATTTATATCTCTCTCGGCGCTATGTAATTATGACTAGTTTTGCTTTTTATCCAGTTAAATTGTTCGTTTATTTATGTTTTGTTTAAATATATATTAAATGTTTAACTTTCTTTCATTTGAGGTTGTGAATATCCAAACTTCGCACATTTTTGTGCAAATCATAGTCTTGAAGAAAGTGCGACATGGTGCGCAGGCAATCTACCGAATTTCCAAGAAGCCTGTAAGGTTCTCAATAACGGCGGACAAACACCGCAACAAGTTGCCGTTGAAAGGGGAGAAACCCCTGCAGTAATTATTATTTTTATTTTATTTACATGAATGTTATATAAAAATCGCCGTATTACCTTTCCAGCTTTTAAGAATTTTATTTAAACTTTCAGGTTGTAATTATCAATAAATTTGGCCATCAGCACCATCTTTGGTGTCTCTCCTTACTTCTTGTCATTTTATGTGTTAGAAGTACGTCGCATGATTACAGTTCCTGTTTACTTTTAAGATGTTAGAAAGTCATATGGCATTAAAGACTAAATGGTTTGGATTAACAGTAACTGTTGCTACACATTTTTCAAACTATTTACTGTTCTTTTCTTTATTTCCAGTTGATTGAAGCTTTGGGAGTTAAAGAAGGTTGTATACTTTGAATTACTTTGTTTTTTTTTAGCTCCACTTTTCGAAGAAAAAAAGTGGAGACATTGTCATGACCTATGTCGGCATTTGCGTCGGCGTCGGTTAACCTTTTTTATAAGATCCATTCTCTCAGAAACTATAAAAGCTATTCACTTCGAACTTGGTTAACATTTTGTTGTCATGAAACGACGCAATTTCAAAAGGACAGATAATCATATTTTTTTGTCAAAATACTGCTCCTTTTTTACTTATATTTTTAGCCCTGTTTATACATTTTGTAAATGTTTCTTGTTACAGTAACTATCAAAGCTATTCACTTCAAGCTTGATATGCGTGTTACCTATCAAAAGACAAAAACTGACAGCATTTCAAAAGGACAGATAATCCTAAAATTCATTTTTGCACAGTACTGTTATGCTCCTTCTTGAATTCATCATTTTTCTGTTAAGGTTAATTTTTCATTTATTTCAAAGTTAATCACGTCAAATTTGGAATACGTTATAAGTTTTTAAAGTGGGATGTATTTTTAAAGGGCAGGTAACTTTTGATTTTTTTTCTGAATTATTCCCCCTTTTGAGTTTGAATTTATTGGTTAACTTGTTTTTATATAAAAGTACAATTCTCAAACAGTATAAAAGATATTCACTGTAAACTTGAAGTAATTGTTCACTATCAAATTTGAAAAGCATTTATAAGGTGGAGATAATCCTGAAAATCTTTTTTGGTTTATGCTTTATTCCTTCTTTTTATTGGTATTCACGGACACGTGACGATATTTAACTTCACCAGGAAGTCCAAAGCATTCAGAATGTATAAGCACAGACATCTTGATATTAGGAAGTATTCCTTTGGGGTTTGAGGTTAACAAAATATCTGATAGCAAACGAGAGAAAACAGTGTTTTTGTGATTATTTAAAAACAAAGGAAGCAACGTTTAGTAACAAAATGGCAAGTTGGTTAATTTTATCTCAACTAAACTATTATAAATGCCATTTCTTCGTTTCCTGTAAAGTACAACCCGTCTAATCGGACTAGTCCATATGATTTTCATGAAAGCATCTATAGTCTAGTCTGATTCCTTGCCTTCATTTACTTTACTGTAAGGGGAAGGAACTCCAGAATACATCTATTTCAATGTTTATTATATAGCCCTTTTCAATGTTAAAGTAAACAACGTACTGTTGAGCAAATTGAACGAAGCGTTAGTGAACGACCATGTGTTTTTATTGTTCAATAGTTTTTGGTGCAATTTCATACTGAGGGATATTGGGAATGAACGCTGATTCGACATCAGCATCATTAATGCCTGAATACTTAGCTATTATCCGGCTCCTCTACTTGTACTCCTGTATTATTTTAGTATTGTACCAGAAGGAAATTTGGAGGCTACCCTTGAAATTTTCCTTGTTCACTTAGAATATTTACCCTTTTCTCAAAAACCGTTTAAAGTATTCACTTCAAACTTGAAATATTTGTGGACTATCATGGGGAGATCTGTCTGAGAAGCACGTTTGCAGAGTTATGCTCCCTTGTCTATGTTGATCGTGGAACGCGCTGTCCACTTTAACTGCGCGTCGAGATAACAGAAAACAGGTTGAGATTTTAAGCATACATTCACTGTTTCTGTTTCTTTTCATTTTTGATATTAACTTACGTTGATTTGGTATAAAATGTCTAAATTTTAACTCATTGTTTAATATCTAGTTTTCATTCATTTTAAGTAAATGTACCCTCTGAAGTTGCGTAATAGACTTGTCTTCCGTGGAATTTAAAAGTGTCCATTATTGACGAAAAGGATGTCAGTTAACAGTTTGGTCAGACTTAAAAAACTGCATGTACGGACTGATTGGACTGCACCCTGATAGCAAGGCACCAATATATTTACCGGTAGTACCCTTAGGTTGTCTGGTTCCCTGCCTACATTTACTAAATTACTGTAACGTAATGTAAGAGGAGGGAACTCCATCTGCTGGAATCTGCTTAGCACATGCTACCAATAAAAAGCAATGCACTACATGTGCAGTGCAGTCTGGTGTACTGTTCCAATTAGTAGTTCATTGTGTGTACTTCACTAATTCAGTTTGAAATAAGTTTTTTTTTTCCTTTTCTTTCTTTTCAGATCTGGAACCAATTCAATCGCCGTTCGGAAATGGTGTGTAGAAATCTGTTTCATATTTCAGAAATCTTATTACCTGTATCATTTTATCATTCTTTTTTCAAGTTAAAGCAAGAAAATATCCGGAGAATAGATATTTTCTCACTTTGATGATTTCCTTATCAATTACTGTAAGCAGTATAAAGGGGTGTCCGTGCTGGAATGGTTAAAGTAGTTGTTTTCAAACCACTTGTCCCAGACCGCTGTAAGTTCGAGTCTTGCAAAGGACTTTGGATTCTTTCAAGTCAGAATGCTATCCAGCTAGATAGCTAACGGAACGTCGGTCGTTCTACTTAGGTGCCCAATCGTGCCTGAAATAATGTTAGCATGGACACCTTAGGTCTTCTTCCTTCAGTTCACATGATGGTGTACGTAGTGCCTTTTTCAATTTGCTCACATGATTGTGTAGTGCCTTTTTCAATTTGCTCACATGATTGTGTAGTGCCTTTTTCAATTTGCTCACATGATTGATTTTTTCAAAATGCTCTCATGATTGTGTAGTGCCTTTTTCTATATGCTCACTGACATGATTGTGTAGTGCCTTTTTCTATATGCTCACTCACATGATTGTGTAGTGCCTTTTTCAATATGCTCACCTGATTGTGTAGTGCCTTTTTCAATTTGCTCACATGATTGAGTTTTTCAAAATGCTCTCATGATTGTGTAGTGTCTATTTCAAAATGATCACGTGATTATGTAATGCCACAAACTGATACAAAATGTTAACAACGATATCCGCCTGACACTCTTTTTGACGTGTTGCAAAAAGAAAATCCTAAGCAATTACATTAAATGTAATATCCTTTTGACTGATATTCACTCTTTGCTATGCAGAGCGTTTTATTTTTGGAACGACGAGGAGAAATGTATCTTGCCCGGAAATTACGCCATTAAATGGTAAGTGTCCAGGAATGATACCCACCCCGGCACGTATTAACAAACCCTGCACAATGATAACGTATTATACGCACGGATATATAGTCAATCAAAAACCATTAAGTCAAATTGTTATGACCCAGTTTATATGATAGAAGATTTAGCTTGCAATCTGTAATAATAATGATCAATAAAACAATCCCTAAAATTTAGATATGACGTTGACCTTATTTGACCTTGATCGTCTAGGTAAGATGATTGAATTTTGCTTATATTTTCATAACTTTGTCATTTATTTTGAAAATGATTCGTATACTTGGACAGTTTCTATCCATCGACACAAACGATGTTTTTATAGCAATGCAAAACAGCTAAATTGCAATGTTGGAAATATATTGCATCAAATATAAACACTTCCAGCACTTTCATTGACAATTTTACATTCTCTATTATAATGTATCTATTTTCCATTTGCCTATATTTTATGCATCATCAAATAGGAAGTACCTATTTAAATTGCAATCCGATTATTTCCGACGTGCATTTTACGAAGTTTTAAAATATTTCTTGCCGTATCATATTCCAAGATTTTGTAGCCTGAATCATAAGCTCTGACCCCTCCATACTATCATTTTACATGTACTTGATCTGTCTATCATTTTCTGTTTTAGAGCACAAGCATTCTTTTATACTTTAAAAATAATGTCATATTGAAGGGTATTTGGTCACCAACGAAAGAATGTTAAACCATTTAGATATTTAATGCTTCAGATTGACCACCCTTGTCCTAGGTTTTGTCGTAGATGGTTGCAGTTCATAAACTATGGTGGCTGATTTGTGCAATGTCATACTTGCGCTCCGCGAGGCGCCAAACAAAAACACAAAAATACGACAGAGTAACCACTTGTCGTATTTTCGTGATTTCGTCTTGGGCCCCGCGGAGCGAATGTACTCCAAAGTTTTCACTTTGTTCGTATTTTTGTGTTTTCGCCTGGCGCCACTCGGAGCAAAAATACGACATGGCATAAGTGATAAATGTGTAAATAGATAGAAATTGAAAAGGATAAACAATGTTCAAAATGACAATGTTTCAAAACGTTAAGAGAATAATTCTTAATATTGTCCCGCACACCGCTATAACTTTATTTTTGTGTGATACCTTTTTAGCAGTAATCATACCTACGACGTAAAATAAAAGATAAATTAAATGTTGCTTTATATATTTCCAGGAAAAAACAGAGATAGTGGATGTTTTTCACAAGGCAGTGTAAGAATATTGTCAGTCTATAAACATATTTATCACATACCCGTGCAGCTTTTACGGCTCCGTATAATGGTATTGCACGGCCTTGCATATACTTAAGAAATAATATCGGTCTTAGCGGTGTTAATCGGCTATTGGGAATCGACCACGAAGGCCGTACTGATAAGGGGAGATTACTGCATATGAGATTGCGTATAAAGCTGTTCGATTTCGCTCCCTACTCTACGGTTGCTTAGATATAGAAATTATTTAAAAAAAAAAAATATAAGAAAAAAGTTATTATATCAAGTAAGTTTCAACAATAAAAACTTACGTCTCAGACTGGATTCCCTTGTGTTTTCATCAGTGTTTGATTAATCATTCTTATATGTTTGAAATGACGTTTATGAATGAGTTGTATACTTAGAATGACGTCATTACGTTGCTTACGGACTTATTGACATTTGCTCGAACCTCTTTGTACTTGTTCGTCATGGTCACTTATGATAAGCTAAATATATTCAGGTGTGGTACGCTATGAAAATGATAGTATTTTATCTTACTGTTCTACAGGTAGATACAAGACCATATAGAGAGCCCGCACCAGTCCCAACGGAACATTCCGAAACAGTAAGTATACGTTATATAGAGCTCGCAGCAGTACATACGGAACATTCTGCAAAGTAAATATACCCTAAAATAGAGCCCGCTTATTAGGAAAAATTTCCCAATCAGTAAAAAAAAACGTTATATAGACTCGCAGAATAAAAAACGGAAATTCGAAAAAATAAATTTTAAAAAAAGGAAAATTTTGGAAATTCACAACAAAAAGATAATTTTCTAGAGACCAATTAGGGAAAAAATTCTAAATCATTTGTATTCATGTAAAGGAATTATAAAGCCCCCGTTTCTATGGAAAATTTTTAATTATAAATTTTCGTTAAAATTGCCCCTTTTTTGGTGATACCAATAAAATATAAAAAACAAAACTTAAAAAAGTTTAATAAAACAATAAATATTTTTAAAAGTAAAAAGGCAGTGGGGAAAAAATTTTAAATTTTGTTGTAATAAGCATATCCAGTACATAATATACACAAAGCCCTTTTTTTGCAAATAAAACAAATAAAAAATAAAAAAATAGGGGTTTTTTTATTTTTAAAACATTATTTTTAAAAAAATTTGTAAATTGTTACTTGGGTTTAAATAAAAAAAATTTTTTTAAAAAAAAAACATATTTTTATGCTTAAAAAAAAGGGGATTTTGTTAAATTTTAAAGCTCAAAAATAAAATTTTAAATAAATTAATTAATATAACTTAAAATTTTGGGGCCACAAATTTCAGTGAGTAGATCCCCATTTTTGTTTACTTTAATATTCAATAATTGAAAAATTTTAATAAGGGTAATAAAGCCCTTATGTGTGACAATAAAAAAATAACCGACTCAAAATCAAAAAACCTGACAATACCTGATTTTATAAAAAAACCTATACAAAAAAATGTGAACTTTTGTTATTTAAACAATATATATATGATTTCATTCCTCGTTGAATTCTTGTAAAGTTATGTATAATATAAGAAATAGCTCATGTTACTTCGGACCTCATAGAATTATAGTGACCGCCATGACAGCCTCATACATTGAACGGACCTGAGCCTCCAGTTTCGGTCTGTTATAAGTTGATTGACAAATAATTACGAGGCCCTTATTGAAATGTACTATTTCTTTAACAAGTATATATATGCAAAGCGACCCGCATTTTAATATCAATGCTTATAATATTTCGAAAATAAAGAACGTTACAAAGACTATATTGTTACATTAAATATGATTAATTAAAAAAAGAGTCACTGGTTAACCTGACTTGTGAGAAAATAATTTTTATTCAAAAATCTCTTACGGTCAATATGCTAGGAAATATCGGGTAATTAATATATGGATTCTTAATTGTTGTTTATATTTATGTTCATCTATGTTAAAAATAAATAAATAACAATTGAAATTAAGTTGATATACTGTACACTCGACGAAAAACAATTTTTGTTTAGATTTTACCGACAAGAGCGTCCGTACAATACAATAATCGACGACGCTGAGTCGACGTATAACCGACCATGGGAATCAAAGACCTTTCTACCAAACCGATCTGCCCAGGCTTTATCAGCTGGCACACTGTCCAGAAGTATGCAAGAAGATTCTAACGGCAGAGGGCGTGGACTGGCGAGGTCTAATACAACTGGAGGCAGTGGCACTCGGCTGTAATCTTAAAATATTTTCGAATGTCCTTGTAGTACAAAATGGACAGGTTGTATTGTGAAAAAGAAAATGGAAAAAAAATAATCTTAAAGAATTTGTCATAAATAATATATTATTTCTATGGTTTCAAGAAAGTTTCCAAACAAAGAACAGTGATGTTGGAAGAGAAAATCTTATGCATAATCTATCACATACCCGTGCCGATGTTTGTGATTCCCTAAAAATAGTATTGCACGGCCCTGCATATATATTTTGATTTTGCGTCATTTACGTTGTACAAACATAATGTAAAGACGCGGTAAATGTTAGCGTTACACTATAGGCGCGTCAATGAAAAAAAATCTTTTACTTTTTAAACAGTCTTTATTTTTGAATGTGTGATAAGTAGACTATCCTATACATGTTCATTACTGAATTTATTGAACTCGTTGAATAAAAAAATATTTTGCTCGCCAAAGGCTCGCAAATTATAGTTTTATTCAATAAATTCAGTATTGAACCTACATTAATTCAATATACTCTATAAATGACACTTGATTATGATACTAATGCATGATAATAAAGTAAAGTGAACTTGTTATGATCATATAAGTAAATCGTGTAAACTGCTTTTACATATCAATCTGTGAAATATTTACTCATAACTAATTATATCTCCATCACAGTGTCAGATGATATTACGTATATACTATATTTTAAAACATATAATTAATAAACCTTAATAATACACAAGTGATGTCAGCGAAATGACGTCATCAAACGAAATTCACATGTATTAAAGGAACTCCACTGATGTTCAAAAGCGTAAAACAAACATTTGAATTTCTTACATTGATCAGCTAGGGCATTTAAAACCGAACGATGTGCAAAAAACAATAAAGAAATATACTCAGAAATTGCAAATCGTATTTTACTATCCCTAGTCCGAATTAGCGATTTAGGTGGAAAGCGTTGCAACGGTTTTCAATTTTGGGTATTTTTATACAATTATAATACTTATTCTGATAAAACGGAGTGAGCGAATGATCTGAAATTTGCACACAAGTTTCTTTGTTAAGACCTACATCAAACGGGACATTGATATAGAAAATTTATTTCAAGTCCCAGCATCTCAAAAATACCCAGTGGAGTCCCTTTAATACTTTATTTTGATATCTGTGATATCTGTAAGTTGATGGTGTTAAATGTAGACATGCGTCAGTTTAACATGTTGGTAGTACTTCTGTGAGGCCATCAAACGATTGAACAAAATGATGTTTTCATCGTAAAAATTACATTAGTCCTTAAAGTGGATAGGCCAACAATAGGCACATTTTCCATAAGTATTTCAAATAATTGATAAAAACAATAGATAAATCATTTGGATCTGCTTGAAAAAGCAATGTTGATAAAGTTTTAAGTGATTTAGAATGACCATTTTTGTGATGAAAAGGATGTTTTGTTCAGAACACTTTATGTTACACTGTTATGTAAATATATGTAACATCAAATCATGTATCTCACACTTGCCGACAACTTTTATGTATAATTCATTTGTGGTTTGTTATTTTGTCTAACACTAAATATTATCAGATTGCAGACTAGGTTTGTTTGAGTCTGTACATGGGGGATAATGAAAAAGTGCATCACCCTCACGCCCCCTAGCACCGACCTTTTCGCCAATTTAAAGCAAGAACAGCATGCATATCCGTGCTATCGGGTTATTCTTTTATTTACAGATACCTCATTTGATTAGTTTATATAATCTAATAATATTTCATATCATTTATTATTGTACTTGTCAATGTCAATGCTGTTTGATGAATAATTGAATCTGTATTGTTATTGTTTTAATTTTGATCTAGTGAACAAATGTGTCATAACAAGCAGCAGACAACCGTGTCAAAATAATGTTTTTATCCTAAATCCAAAATGGCGGAAACAAATTCAGTTAAAGAAAAAAAACATACGAATAAAAACTATAATTATCAAATAAATTATTACCTATAGAGGAAAATCGTCTATACATGTAAATGTCAAAGTTTGAAAGATATTTACATTCTACGTTTGTTATGACATAATAAGATCAAACTTCCAGCTTCAAATGATAGTTTTCACAGCAATTGTATTGCATTTTTCATGAACATGATTTACTAATCAAAACAAAAAAATCTAATCAAAATTGAGTCAAGTGATATTTTCCTCATTAAACTGCTCACAAAATAGGAGAATTATTATAATTATGTTTAATATATTGAAAATGGGATTTTTTTTTTGGACAATTTATTTACAAAATGCACAAGTCCCACAATAGCGGGATTATACTTATACTGTTATACTTCTAGATTGATGTAATTATTATTCTGAACATTTTAAAAATTGTTTTAATTGTTACTGGGACGAACACATTGACGAAACTAACAATTAAACTCTCACTATTCTACACGGCTATAACATAACAGAATATGCAGAAATTACATGTACTTCTCAAGTGATGGGGTAGAAATAAGACTTCATGTACATTTGTTATCATAAAGTAAGAAATAATGTTAATATTAAAGTGGGATACCAACAGTAAATGTTTTTTTTCTTATACATGTATATAATACCCCAACAATATTTACTATTATATATATTTCACCATTCAAACTAAATTTTCATTAGCCAAAGATTATTTGAATTATGTTATTGATATGATAATTTTAAAGAAGGTTCGATTGTTGTTGCTGATATTATTGTTGTTGTTGATACTGTTATTATTGTTGTTATTGCCCTTATTTATCTGTTGAAATATTTTCTAAGTTTTGAATAAAACATAAACTATATAACATTATAAAATGTATTCATTTTAATTACCAATGCTTATGTTTAATAAAAAAAATATCATATATCATTAACATTCTTTTTGTTTTCCTTTCCTTTCCTGTATTAAGGCGAAGGAACAAGTCTTTGTAATAGCAGAATGTTCTTTTCAGTTCTTTTCGGTAAATTGTACTAAAAAAGCTATGTCATTTAATTAATCTTTTTTTTAAAGATGATTTGAGTTTATCTATGCCAGTAGTGTTTTACTAAGCAAGACTGCACCTGCGTTTTTATTCTTTTAATAGAAATATTCCAAATATTGTTTACCCCAAACTGGATAAAGGTAACCTTGCAAAAATATGGCGGATGGCGTGGCCCTTAGTCTTCCCATTTTGAGGTCTTTCGTTGTCAGTTTTAGTTAAATATTTTATTAAACTCGCCATTCTGATAGGATGAGATTAGGCGATGTACGGATAGAAATTATCAAATCTTGTTAATTGTTTACGAAGTGACAATTATCATTCTATTGTCACTTTGATAATGCCGCCTATTACTAGATGGCACAGAATCAGCGTCACAACCAACGGATACTGTTTCCACCAACTGCATTCA